ACGAAGACTAAGCCTTATTGTTCACTCTTTTTGGAACAAGTTTGGTATCGTATAAGTTAGACTCTTAGTTGTGGAATGGATCCTGTGATTCATGTCCCTTTATCAATCACTCTCTATCTCTTTTGTTTTGTGCGTTTGGAAGAACCTTGAATTTACATGTTTGGTGTGTTTTAATAAGTTTAAGACACTTGTGTGACAATTCCTGCTTTTGTGTGTTGCTATGGAATCCAATGAGATTCAATGTCACTCTGTTCACAGTCTTGATTTTAGATCCTTGATGTTGAAAAATCTCATATTGAGTTTACCAATAAGCAAACTCAATATTAATGGTAAATGTAGAGTTTATTGCTTTCTATGTTTTCTCGGAAGAACATTGTCTTGTTGTCCTTCTCATGCTTCTTATGCTTATGATCTTGAGTTTCTCGGCGACTACAGTACCTACTACGAAGAGGATCTTGGAAAGCAAAATACAAGAAGAAGTATGATGTTACCATTAATAACGTTATCAATAGTAATGGTAAATGTAGAGTTTATTGCTTGCGGAATACGTAACTCATCTAATCGCTTGTGTTGGATTTGGATTGAGCAAAAAAGTGAAGAACACCGCTCACTACTGGGCTTAACCTTGTAACAGGCCCAAGTCGATCTGTCTCTCTTTGTACACTGATGGGCTTTAGCCGAGGCCCATCTGATTTGTCTTTTGTCTTATCTACTGTATAATCCACAGTAAAGCTGGTTTTTTGCAAGAAAGGAACCAACTTTATTATAAGATCGTACACTGAAAAACCTAATAAATGAAAAACAAGGTTTTGAAACTTTGAATAAACTTTGGATAAACATTAAAAGACTGTTGAAAACATGTAAACCCATTTTTTGTCGTACGTGTAAATAAAGTGGGAAAAGATGGACAGCTCATCCTCTATATATTATTAGAAGAGACCGTAGATGAAAATCTTAGGTTTCATAGGATTTTAAAGAATTCATTTTTTAATAAAAATTATTAAAAAATTTTAATAACAAATATATGAAAATAACGAATATGTGGTAATTAATATAGAAAATTTTATTTAAGTATAAAATATATTTTTTCAATAATATTAGATTTTTTTATATGAGTCAAAAGCGGTATTAAAATATTCAAAACAAAAATTCATGATTATTTTTAATAGATGAGATAAATAAAAAATAACAAAGATAAAATATGTTTATGTTTGATCAAAATTTAGTTTTATTATATGTATATACAATACATATTATTTTTGTGTGTTTATAAATGTTAGAATACACGTCTAAATATTAAATTCGATTAAAAACATATTTATTTATTTAATATCACGAAAATAAAATTTTTTGACCAAGAGAGTGGCTCGATGACGTCATCTCGTCTTCTTTCTTTGTAATTTTTTTTTTGAAATTTTGAATTATGGTCACAACATTTCCATATATGTTTTGTCGTAATTTGGAAGAAGGAAAACCAATAGGAAATCAACAGCTCATAATTAGGATTAATGATGTCACTGTTTTTTATTTTTATTCACGGTAAAAATAAAAAGCGAAATCAATTTATTACATGGAGACAGTGGTAAAATAATATAGGTAAATATTGACCAGTCAAACTTTGTTCTTATGAAGCAGTTTATACTTTTATGAACACTAAAAATCAAGGTGCCATTTTTACGCAGAGAGAAGAGAGAGAGATGGTTGGACTACAATTCCAAGACTCTACGGGAATTTCTTTCAGTAGTGGTCTTCTTCTTCCATAATCATCTCTTTCTGTTTCTGTTTACATTTTCCATGATTATTGATTGCTTTACTATATTTTTTTTGGGGTAAAATTTGCTTTACTATCTTACCAAAGACATGTTTTTTCGCCCTGCAAATCAAATGTTTTCAACAAATTTGCATCAAATCAAGCGTCTTTTCTTCCCAGGGGAAAAAAAGAGCATTCTTTGACATGAACTTAGTGCAAATATTTCATTAAAGCTCTTCAATAATCTTTGATTTTGTTTACTCTTTATTTCTGGCAACTATGTACGTACGATTTGATAATGCACTTGGATAATCTTTTGATTCTGTTTACTTAAGTATTTACGATTTCGTTTTTGTTTCTCTTCACAGAGGGCTTGTACGCGACGAACAATCAGTTCCAGAAAGCCGGTCCAAAGGGTTTCATCCAAGTGAAGGTTCTTGAGAACGATCAGCTTTACGTTCGTGTCGACTTGCCCGGAGTTCCAGATGACGCCGTCCGTCACAGAGTCGACTCCGTGAGGCAAAAGGTGGTGTTTTTCTCCGGCGAGGCCGTCGACGACGGCAACAGGAAAGACCCTGTTCGTGAGTACTCTGGATCCGCCGGTCTGAGCTGTGACTGCTGCGAGATCACGAACGTTGATGCGTAAATGAAAGACGGAATGTTGAGGATGATTGTGTCAAGGGTCAAAGTGAAAGACCATGAAACCAAGTGTACACTCACGTTTCCTCCTTTCACAGGTTCGATCAATCATCAAATCCCTAAAATGATCATCACTATATATATATATTGGAATTCTTGTTGTAAGTTGTACAATTTTCCAACAGGTAAATCAGGAAGGTTCGCGGCGGATCATCCGTTTGTGGCGCAAGAGAGCAAACGTTGGAGAACTAACAGCTAATGGTGGTCTTTACTTTGCAGTGGATGTGCCTGTTGTTTGTCGTGATGACATTGAAGTGTATGCTAAAGAGGATGAAGTCAAATTCTATGCTAAGATCAAAAACGTGTATGAGCATGATGAAAGTAGCCGTATCTACCTAGGAAGCATCGAATTTGAGGGATTTACACTTTTGAGCCACTCCATGATTTGTCATCTACAATATGGTGTTTTCAAGATTGTTATTGAACCTCTTTCCACTCCTCCTCC